CTTGCCTGTTGTGTTTTATATTTGAATTGTTTCTGTGCTGCATATGGTAAATAAAAGAAAACAAATAGATCTGGCACTGTACATAATGTTTTTACCTGTACACGTTTTTTATTCTAAAGTAGCCTGACTCCTACTGATATTTGGTTGTATTTGTCTGTTGTAAAAATACACTTTTTTAACAAACATTTCACTTGTGTGTGTTTTTTTTAATAATGTTGTTTTCAAAACTATTTTCACTATCAAAAATATATTTTGTGCGTTCTGTTGAATGGTTTAATGCTTACAAAATTACAGTGAAGGAACAGCAGTTATATTCCCTTTAATAGTCGGCATGAGAAAAATCTTCTGTCATATTATACTTTAGTACTTATAACCTTAGATATGCAGTACACTCCCTGTTATCCGGTACCATTGGGGATTGGTGGATGCTGAATAACTATGCTAGATTCTGCTATTGGCTATTTTAAATTGCCATAGCCAATAGCAGGCTGGTTATTGCTCACCCAATTTCCGTTGTTTACATTCACCTGCGAGCTGCGGAATCTAGCTGTTGACTGCAGTGAATTTCGTTGTCAACTAAATGAATTTGGAATAACTTTTAATAACTTTTGGAAATTCTTGGGCTTTTAACCACAGACCTATACCATTAGGATTTTAATGTATTTTTTATGCTTACTTAAAGGAGAACTATGAGGTGAGTGAAAATCACTCCTCCTCATAGTTCGAGCCAACGTGTGACAATGAGACTGTCACACGTCGGCTCAATAGAGCGGGAAGTGAGTGAACACATAACGTCACTCGCTCACTTCTCGATCATCTCCCTGCAGAGAGCAGTGATCGTCAGTCACGGCTCCCTGCAAGGATTCCCCGCTCCAATCCTCCAGCGCTGACTGGAGGGACAGATGGGAGGGGGCAGACACAGCTGGCTTTGCCTCTAGGTAGGCAGAGCCAGCTGTCACTCACGTAGCTGGGTGGATCCAGACAGTATTGTCGGGATCTGTCCCGACTGCGGGGCTCTCAGTATATCGTGGGCAATAGCCCACGATATACTGACCTTTGGGTCACAGGAGGAAGCTAGTATATGTCCTCCCATGACCCTTAAGAGAACTATGGGGAAAAACACTGACCCCATAGTTCTTTTAAGGACTATTAAAGGGGTTCTAAAGCCTCCGGTTTTTTTTTGGCCTATATTTACTGCTAGCAAGCAGTAGATATAGGCAAAAGTTTTTTTGTCTTTTAAAAAATCCGCTTTAACAGCGGTTTAAACTTACCTCGTTATTGCTGGGCGCTCCCGCGCCGAGAATCCGGAACTGCTTGTGCGGCCGCAAAGGATCTTGGGGCGGGCACATGCGCAGTTCGGATTCTCGGCCGGAAGATGAGGAAGGACACAAAGTAAGTCTGTGAACGCATGCAGACACAGTGGGATCGGAAGTGCCAGCAAGGACAGAGGTAATCAACACCGCTCAGGCACATAGAAAACAATTGTTTTCTTTCTATGGCCCAGCTCATGCCACAACATTGGTGTGACGTGCTGCATTTTTTCACAGCGCACTGGATCGCACCGCAGTTCACCACACTGCAGCAAGCCAAAGGTGATGGCAAAGCTAATGAGGACACATATTCTGGTGATAACTGTCTAAGTTGGATTTTCCTAACTTTAGAGAGATTTCCTGTTCAGTCTCCAGGGCAGGAAGTATAGAGAAATATCCACAATTGGGCAAACGCAGAAAAAAGTAAACTGAGAGGAGGTTTAACTCTTCCTCGTATCCAAACCTAAGAAGAAGTTTTGGCTATACATACACCCGTGAGAGATTTTTTATACACTCATAATTCTGTGTGTTCACAATTGCAACACTGTTCTCAAAAAGTGAATCTAGGCCTGGATTTGGAAGTAGATGGCAATATTTTGTTCAAAGAACTACTCATGTAAACACTGTCATGAGCAAACATGGAGGCTGCCATTATCTTTTAACATGCTAGTTAAAGCTGTTTTTTTTTTCTAGTGAAAAGTTACCTTAACATCTATTGAACATCTAACTTCAATTAACATCTATTGAAGTGTATTCCATGTCCTCCTTGCTGCTGCTTACTGTAGAAATCTTCCTTCCACTGACACTGAATACTCCCCACAGAGGTGATCTTCTGCATCTGTTGGGGTTAAGATCAGCAGCTGCAACTGGGAGGCATCAGTCAGCAGGGTAGATATTCTTCCACCAATCCATAACTCCCAATCCAGGATCCAACAGCCTCGGAAAAACTGGGGGCCAACCACACGAGCTTGCCTCGTTTGTTAACACTGCTCTCAAAAAGCTTTATTCCATCATTACGAGTCCATGTTGCAGTCCCTGTCTAGGCACAACCCCTCTAACACGTTTCACACATAAGGGCTTAGTGACAGAGAACATGGAGCATGGAACCGTATTGATGGGATAAAGCTTTTTGTGAGTGTTGTCTCCGGACGTGCGGCCACTTGCTTAAAAAAAAAGTGCAGCTCGCCCTCCCCTTCCTCCTCTCTCACCCATTGACTGAAATTGTATTATTTTTTCCCAGGATGACGAGTATTCTATGATTGGAGAAGGTGGATCCTGTCGTTCATCTTCCCTTCCTCTATTCACAGAACGCTTTGTGTTCTGTGAGAGAAACCTAAGAGTTCTGTGAAAGGGTGAGAGAGGAGGAAGGGTGGATGGGTGGCGATGATAGTAACCCCTGCTGGAAGATCACTTCTGTGGGGAGTATTCAGCATCATGGAGGGAGTTTACACTAAGCAGCAGCCAGCAGGAGATGGAATACACTTCATTAGAGGCACATTACGTGTCTGGTGCTGCATTCCCCTCCAGTATAAAAATAAACAAAACTTCATCTTTAACTGGTTGTCATGCTGACCCTTTGGCTTCAATACCTTGAGTCAACCCGTGGTGTAAAGCCTGTGAAAAAACACAAAAATCCTTCACCTCAGAAGCCCTCCTTTACATCAGAGTCCCCTCTCTCAAACTTGGAGCCCCCCTTACATCAGAGTCCTCTCTTCACGGAGGGGGAGGGACTGCTCCAGCGAGGAGGGCAGCTTTAGGATGAAAGAAAGGACCTCCACAGTAGTTTTCTCAGAGATACTACCGGTGCTTAACAAGTGGCTCAAGGATCTGTGCTGGGTCCGATACTGTTCAACCTATTCATTCATGACATCGGGGAGGGAATAAATAGCCATGTTTCCGTGTTTCTAGACGATACATGGACTTGATGGACGTACAGTATGTCTTTATTCAACCCCAAATACTATGTAACTATGTAACATCAAAGTCCTCTCTCTCAAACCTGGAGCCCCCCTATATCGGAGCCCTCCCTTCACATCAGAGTCTCCCCTCTCAAACTTGGTACCCCCCCTTTACATCAGTGCCCCCCTTCACATCAGAAACCCTCTTTCTCATCAGAGTCCTCCCTCTCATACTTGGAGCCCCCCCTATATATCAGAGTCCTCCCTCTCATACTTGGAGCCCCCCTATATACTGTATCAGAGTCCTCCCTTCACATCAGAGTCCTCCCTCTCATACTTGGAGCCCCCCCTATATATCAGAGTCCTCCCTCTCATACTTGGAGCCCCCCTATATACTGTATCAGAGTCCTCCCTTCACATCAGAGTCCTTCCTCTCATACTTGGAGCCCCCCCTTTACATCAGAAGTCCTCCTTCACATCAAAGTCCCACTCTCAAACTTGTAGCCCGTTATATATCACAGCCCTCCTTCACATCAAAGTCCCACTCTCAAACTTGTAGCCCGTTATATATAGGGTTGCCACCTTTTCTTCAAGCGAAACCCGAACACTCAAGTGATGCGCAGACACTTTTTTTGGGAGAATGGAGTGGTGCCTTTTTCATATGTAAATAGCGCCGCCCATTCAGATGTAAATATCACAGTTGAGACTATTTTCAGTGGGGGGGCAAGTAGCCCCCATCTTAATTTTGGTTGCCCCTGTCTGCCTGACATCTTGTGTCCGGGTTTCTGGTGCCATGAAACCCAGACACAGCATTCAAAACCAGGACTGTCCGGGTGAATCCTGGACAGGTGGCAACCCTAGTTATATATCACAGCCCTCCTTCACATCAGAGTCCCCTCTCTCAAACTTGGAGCCCCCCCTATATATTAGAGTCCTCCCTTCACATCAGAGTTCCCCTGGTTTAGAAAGGCTGTTCTATTCATTACAAAATCGAATGTTAAAATCACACAATGGCATGATTGAACGTTCTGAAGAGATTTATGGACGTTTGTATGAAAATCTACACCGTATGGCCAGCCTTAGTTTCCTGAAATGCACACCTGTTTCAGGCCAGGTTCACATCATTTTCCGGACCAGATCCGGAACGTGGTGCATTGCGTTTTGTCGCTTTACAACCTTGAAGTGTTTTTCATTTTTTTTTTTAGCTTAAAATGGCCTTTCAGGTGTGGTCCAGTGCGTTTGCATGTGTTCCAGACCACAGAAAAATGAGACAAGCTGTATTTTTTTTAGTGTGAACAAAGCCCAGAAATACCATAGGGATACTTCTTTGGTTCCGGTCTGGACATGATTCGGACATGGTGTGAACAAGCCCTCAGGCCACTGACAACGCATCGAAACCAGAGAATACCAGGCAACCAACCTTTTTCAGAAGCAAGGACACCTCCTATTTTATTTAGATTAAAAATCACCTTTCCCCTCCATTGTTTTCTATATATAATATCACAATATAAATAAGAAAAAAGTTACAACGTGTTACAATCCAGCTACACCGTACAGCAACTATCACACAGTTCCTCATTCCCAGCAGGAGCAAGAGCGACACCCCCGCCAACCAATCACAGCTCCCCTCTGACACTTCACTGCGTGCGAAGAAAGGTCCCACAACGATTGGTCCATTGCAATTACACGTTCTATTGGCGGGGAGCTGGAAGGGAGGCGGGGCAGAATAGACCCGGGAAGAATCGTTCTGTGTGGTTCCCGGATGTAAGCAGACTCACGAGTGGCGTATCAGCAGTGCTGGTAGGTATGGCACATTGGCCCTCCTAAAGTTAACTGTCAATGGCAGAGAAAGCGCTCATTGTTTCCATAATAAACTGGACTACATGGTATGGATACACGTCCAGTCACTGAATACACCAAAGCCTATGGGGCTTGTGGTATATAGGCATCTCTCATACTGATTATGTGCAGGGCCCATTCACACCCATGCATTGTGTTGCCATTCATTTCCAATGCATTACAAGAAACAGTGCATGCCCGATCTTCCATCTGTTGTGGTGCATTTTCAAATAAATGGGTTGTCCTAGGGCTGGTTCACACCAGGGTTGGAGGAGCAGTGCTGACGCATTGCACTGTTTTCTTTTTTAGAATGATATTGAAATGTCACAAATGACATATCATTAAGTTGTATCGGTCACAGTGTGGTGTGATGGGGTTGTAGTTGATCGCACCGTGCTGCGCTGAAGAAGAGTACTGCGTGCCAAATGAAATCCAGGTTTTTGTTCTGGGACTGCGTTGGACAAGGCTGCCAGTGCACCTGGTGTAAATGGGCCCTAAATGTGCGGTAATGAATAAAGTCCGCCTGTGAGGATTACAGTATGGGTGTCTTTTTTTTTCTGCCTTTGTCACTTAGGGCCCATTCACACAATCGTGTTTTGCAGGAATGCATGTTGCATGCATTCCTGCAATGCAGTGCCATTTATTCTGAGTTGCACCCCAATGCATCTTTTTGGTGCGTTGACAGTAAAGGAATGTGTTGGCTTAACGCAACGCTCATGGACAGTAGGCATAATGCGCATTGACGCGCTGTGATTGTGTGAATAAGACCTTGAAGTGGACCTTTACCCCCTTTCACTAAGAATCACATCAGGATGCAGCTCTGCATGCTGACATGAAATCATCTTACATTCATTAGCTAAACATGATTTGCATTTACTTACAAATAGAGTTCATCTACTTCCTGGTCCAGTTCTGGCAGAGTGATGCATTACATCACCAGAGCATTGCTGGGAAATCTCATGAGATCTCAGGGAAAGGCATTTTCCTCCCCAGAGATGAGGTGCATGGTCACACATCCTAGTTAAGGATGGGCTCGGGCGTGTTTGCAGCTCCACGCGCCGAGCCCGCCAGGAAGCTGGCAGCGCCAATCACAGCTACTGAGACATGTTCCCGGTCCACAGCTGCAGAGATCGGGAAATGTCTCAGTGCCTGTGATTGGAGCTGCACGCTGTCAGCTTCCTGGCGAGCTCGGCACGTGGAGCAACGAACACGCCCGAGCCCATCCTTAGTCCTAGTCACATGTGCCAGAGTTCCAGGAAGTAAAGGGAGATCTAGTAATTTGCCCTTAGTAAACATAGCCACTTTCAGAAAACTGGGGCAGAAAAGAGAAATAAGGTATACAGAATACAAAGCCTGCAATTATCTAGAAGTATGTGTTCAAAGATATGGGTAAAGGTCTGCTTTGATAAGACAGAACAAGCATGCACCAAGCAGAATCTGAACTCCTGTCCTTCATGTTTTTACCAGGACAGTGACTTTTTCGTAGTTGAAAGCAGACCTAGCAACTGATATATTTTGTAATGTTAAAGTGACACTAAACTCAGGAGTTAAATCTTTAAAATACATTGAAGTACCTTTACTAATAACAAAAATGTATCTTATTTGTGTATCACTCAGCTGTAGACCCTCAAATCATCTCTGAATTGGTGCCGACACTGTCCTTCCTTCTGGAGCGTGGCTACTTTTGTTTCCCATGGTCCCTGTGTGTGTTGTAAAGTAGTCACCGCTCCAAGCTCACTCACGTGATGGACTACAATCTTGATACAGATTAGTAAACTACACGTGAAATTGTAGTTCATCACAGGACTCCTGGTACAGATTTTTGGATTATACTGTTGTTGTGGATTGTGACAGAAAGGAAATTATCCCTGCGGACTTGTGAAATGACTCTTAAAGCTCTGATCTGGATTATAACATGCCTTATAAAGCATGTGAGCCATTGGCAGCTGATCTAACAAAATGACTGCTTGTACATGTACATACCTTGTCCTGGATCCTACAGAGCTCTAGTGTATATCTCACGTAGCGTCTGTGGTCGAGACGGCGGGCCCACACTACGCTGGGCAATCATGGAAGGGGGCGGGCCCTATTTCTTGTCTCATTGAGATTCGCAGACTAGACCACCCAAACTTCTGGGGATCCCTGTGTGCTCTGTGAATTGTCTGATTGTAGTAGCCTGATATCCATATCTGCTGCTATTTAGCACCATTAAAGTCGTCACCACAGGAACACTTACAGCAGTTATTAATTGTGTAAGAAAAAAACCCCTGGAGTTATGAGCCATAATGTGCTAGTATGCACAGCACATTAGCACATTATGGCAGTCTTATCTGCCACCAGTGATGTGAGGTCAGTGCTCTTCTGCTTCGCCAACACTTTTATCTTTGTCCTGGTCTTTTTCCAGGTCCTGAGTCTTTGGTCGCTTGATTGGCCAGGCCCCATGAATGTAACTCCTTTGCATGCTCGCAGGAAATATTTTATCTCAACAAGAGTAGTGAGATGGGGTTAGGAGTGGGGGGTCGTGAAGAAATCCTTAGGACGAGCAACATCAAATTTCATTGTCGGGACAATTTCTTGGGAATTCTGCTCCTCTGTGCAATAACTGGAAAAGCCCTCCACCTCACCAATGAATGCTCTAAAAGCCATTGAAAACTAGATCCAAGATATTAGGAGAATAGATAAACATTAATCCATAATACCCAGAAGCAGAGTATTGAAACAAATGGGAAAAAGCTTGTTCTGTTTGCCTATTACATTTAGTACACTGACAATATGCTGACTTCTTTCCCAAGACCTTATACATAAGGGCCCCACGTTTTATGGTGCACATAGCTTGTGGAAGAAGAAAGTCTTTGGTGCATGTAAAAAAAAAATGTGATGATACAGAACAGAAAGTTACTAAGAAGTGTCTCAAAATTGTCATAATAAAGAATAATTACAATACCTGTTTATTGTACTAATTCATCAATCAATACAGCAAAACAGTGAACACACCAATGCCCGGGACATGAAGTCGTTTTTGTTCTACATATAGCCCTGCTGTGGGCAAGCAGGGCTAAATGTAGAGCAGGGGAGTCAGCGCCCGTTTTGTACAAGCGATCTGGGTTGCTGTACACAGTCTGCTTGTCTGCCCCTCTATAGTCTGTAGACCACACCACCTCCCCCAACCTCAAACACTTCATTATAAGTACATCTGCACTTATGGTTTTCTCTTAGTCTCCCTGCAAAGTTCCACCAATATCTGTTGATCCTGCCAGTAAAGTTGTCAATCAGGTTCCTGTGATGGTGTGACAATGATTCTGCACTGCCCGCACTAGAGTGGGATGAAAAAAATGTTGCAGGTGGCCTGGCTCTCAGCATTGCCACTGCTAATTAACAAGCCTGAGCTCCTGGCCACACCTTGTCCCACGCACTGATTTTTGAAGTGACAGCGCTGTCTCTGTTGCTGAAAGTCTCCCCCTGGGAGCTGTAGTGCCTGAGAGGTGGAGCATGTGAGACACAAGAGAAAGCAGATTGAAGGGAACTTCAGCTGTGACAGATAAAAGGTTTTTTTTTTTCCAGTTACAAACCATTGCACATAGTATTTCTGGCTGTGAATGTACTGACTGCTCTAGAGGTTTGGAAGCTACTTTCTACCATTTCAGAATGTGCACATAGTTATGTTATGCCATTACATGTACCTTATTATTATGTAAATATAACAAATACAGCTATGTGAACATGCATGTCTCTGTTTTTTTCTAGTAAAAATGTCTTCTCTGCGTTCAGAGTATACAATTGGTGGAGTAAAAATTTTATTCCCATGCAAAGCTTATCCATCACAGCTTGCCATGATGAATTCGGTAAGTGACATTTACTAGAGTGACTGCTAAGTAGGGTTTATTGTTTTTTAAATGTTTTATGCTTATTTGTTCATCTCTGTCCAAGTCTGCCAGTCTTCTCAGATTGTTTAAAAATTGGACCCTGTCTGTGCGGCTCATTGATTTGTAGGTAGCAATAAACCTTCGGCATATACTACTATTGGAGAACTAGACACTGCCACACAAAAAAACAGCAGGCCAGCCCAGCATTACCCCTCTTACTACCAGCAACCCTACTAGTGTCCTAGGAGGATGGACATCTTTTCCTCAGCTCTGCTGTTTCAAAGACTAACCTATTGGGCTTGAAAAATTTTAGGGTGTCTCACCAGTCAGTCAAAAATGTTACCAGTCAGCATGACCAGACTATCCTTGCAGCGCCGCGCTGCTGACAGGATACGCAAGATGCACAGCGGGCCTCCACGCTATGCTAGTAATACACGTAGCTTGTCAGAAGCCAGACACAGCGTTTGCTGGTTACCACTGAAACCACTCTAACCCCTTAAAGACCAAGTGTTTACACCCCCTTCCTGGCCTGGCCATTTTTCAGTGTTGGTGAGGACAATGCATCTCTGACTGTTACAGTGGTTTGGGTGGATCCTGAACGTTAAGATCCACATAAAAGTCACTGGAACTGATGTATCATTTGGGGCATCTGGGTCTGGTCATGATTGTTCTTCCACTGGGGGATCTAAGGGATCGAAGTATCTCTGGGTCCTATGATAGCTAAAACTAGGAAATTGACTTCCCACAAGGTCTGTCATTGGACATGGAAAGCATACTTTGGTGTGTGGGGGCTTCTACCGGCTTTGACCTCCAGGAGCTACTCTGTTGGACAAATCCTCTCTTTCCTTCTACTGGGTCTAGACCAGTTCATCATTCTCAGCAATATCTAAATGGTTTCTCACATTTCCTTTCTGTTTCAGGAAACATTGGCCTCCCTCTTTAAATAAGACCTTAGTATAGGGACTTTGCCATGTAGCTTCCTCTGACATTCTAGAGACATTCTTCTCTACTTTTACCACACAAGATGGTTTTTCCTGTAGCCATCACCTCTGTGAGGCGAGCGTCTGAACTGGCAGCTTTATTTTCAAATGGGCCCTTTTTGTTCTCGCAAGGAGGCGTTGCTCTTGGTGTTGTCTGGATGTGGTTCGGACTGAGTGAGTCTACCTATCTTTTTTTTCTTTCAGAAAGGTTGATTGTCTTTTTTGCCATTCCACATGGACCACCAGAAGGGTACCCTGGTTCCTTTTGTTCCACCATCTTTAGGTGGCTCAGATCATTCAAGCTTATGGTTGCAAGGAATAGGCATTCTACTTAGACTGTGAGTGACTCTTGGGCTTACAGTATCAGGACATTGTCATCTAAATTTGTAAGGCTGCCCCCTAGTTCTACCAGGTGGATGTTTGGGCCTCATCTGATGCCAGCTTCGGGCATAAGGTCCTTCAAACGTCTCATTTAGCTGCAGGCAGTCCCTAGTTCCTGTTGTTTGGGTTGGGCCTGTTAGTGGCTGTTTGCTGTTTTGCTTACCACTCAGTTGGACTGCCTTTGGATGTCCCAGTGGTTTATGACTTCCTGTGTCTCTCAATGGATGAGAAAGAAAATAGAATATTTGTATTCACCGTAAAAACCTTTTTCTTGAAATCCAAATCATATAAATCAACATTCACTTGTACAGCAAAAAGAATACTAACCAAAAAGCAGGCATAGAAGGTGAGCACATACCCTCTTTTTATAAATCAGCACTTCAAAAACACACCCCAAGTGCCTTCACCCAGTATGCAAATGCTGGCTTTCTTAGTATTGGGGCATGGACACGGCCTTGTATCCCAAATGGAAACACCAATAAGTTGTTAAAGTCCTGGTATTGTGTTAGAGATATAAGGGTGTCCCTGAGCACCAGTAGAATGAAGGAATGCAACAAATCCAGTTTGCCTAACATTTGAAGCAGTGGGTTGGTATAACCACCAAGCATCTAGTATTTTCAAATGGTGGAAAGAAAAGGCAGCCCTCATATGTCTCTCATGACAGGTTTACAGGGAAAAAAGAAACATTAATAAAGAAAAGATGTACTAGAATACCTTCCTTCCTCACAGACCGTAACATACAGGTACTCTTAAAGCCTAAGACCACAAAGGGACTCATATACACACATGCACTCACTACACACACTTAGGCTGGACACACACCTTACAACCATCGCAAGACTTTTGTCTTGCGATGGTTGTAAGGTACTTAAAAAAACATACGATCTGCCTATCTTGGACAGGCAGATCGTACTTGAGATGATCGCAAGCCCGCCCCGCTGAGGGGCGGGCTTCTGATGACCGCAATGCCGAACGGGCAGTGTGCGCTTGCGCACACCGGCCGTCCGGCTTTTATCTTACGAACATGCTACACACCCGACGAAAATCGTACGATTCTCGGCGGGTTTTTAAACATGTTCGTAAGATAAAAGTCGTGCGACCTTACAGTAGTAGAGGTCGCACGGCTTCCACACACCTTACGATAATCGTACAATCGCGGGATTTCCCGAGATTATCGTACGATTATCGCAAGGTGTGTGGGCACCTTTACACAAGAAGGTTGAACTCGATGGACCTGTGTCTTTATTCAACCTCAAATACTATTTAACTATGTAATGCATGTACTTATCTTTGCAAAGTGGTCCTGTGTTGACAGATTTCTTAAAGCTGAACTACAGGCAAGCAGTTACATACACAATAGATTAAAATGTATGTATGGAAAGCATTTATGTTGTGCAGACAGTGTTATGATCCAGGTGCCCCTGCCAGACATCTCAAGCAGACCTATTATCACTGATGCGGCAGCAGAACAACTTGGTCAGTGAAGCAGTCTCCTGCAGCCTATTGATATGAGGTTTGTGCTCACATGTTATATGCTCAGCATGTTTGCTGTAAGCATGTGCTCTGCAATAGTTTGATAGGGCCTCCCTATTTCATCCAGAGTGCTCCTTTTCTACTTCTTTTAGGGAACGATGGCAAGACAAAATTATATATTGTACTAATTCTATTTAAACTTTTTTTTAAATATATATCTGCTTTTATTGATGTTTGTTTTGTCTTTCTAGAATAAAGTTCCAATTACCATAGTATATAGTGTTTGCATAAATCTATAACATTTTGAACACATCAGGTGTCTTTCCCATGTTTTGCCTAGTACTGGCAATACACAGGAGAAAGGGGACAAAAAAAAGCATATCTTAGGGGCACAAGTTACCAGTTAGAAATTTGAGCATACGGGTTTTTAGCATAAATAACTTTTGTCACTTTTCACACTTATATATCACCTAATGACCTTTTAACATTTATGTATCTTACATCTAACCTTTGACATGCACTTAACCCCTAGACTACACTTTTAGCCTGACCACTTTACTTTAATCCTCAGGCACAATTTATACTCCTATTACAATAAATGCTACGTTGTGATGGTGATAAATACTATTATGATGATGATGGTGTTATAATGGCTCTTCTAAAACACCAGGGAAAGAAAAAAGCTTTAGCTGTCATTTTACTACACCAAATGTTCACACCTGGAAAATCTGTGCCTGAAACAAACTCACATTAAATGCATGAAGTCTAAAACCAGACTACATTGTAAATCTCTGGCTGTTTTATAACTAGGAAGTGCTTGTACACTGCATCTGTTTGTTTTCAGTCATTTGAATTCAGGCCACAAGATGGCAGCATCACCTCACATGGATTACACATCTACCTCATCTGTTTTCCACTGATTATAAATGATGTTCAGTTTATATGACAAAGTCGGTATTTAAAAGAATTTGTTGTGTGCTTAGAAGAATTAACTTGTTTTTCCATTGCAGTGTAACACTACCTTTGTTTCATTTATTAATACAGAATTTCCTTTTGTTTACTCAGATTGTGAGAGGATTGAACTGCAAACAACACTGTTTGCTGGAAAGTCCCACTGGAAGCGGGAAAAGTTTAGCGTTACTTTGTTCTGCTCTTGCATGGCAGCAGGCTCAGTATGGTGAGTAATATAGCACTGAGTTACAAATGTTTTACTGGACCCTTTATTTGTAATTTAAATATTGTGTGTGTGTATATGTATGTGTGTATATGTATATATATGCATGTATGTATCAGGGGTGTGGAAATGTAAAAAAAAAACTACTTGTCCAAGGGCTAAAGCGGGGGCCAAATCTACATGTCCTTCATGACAATCTACTTGTCCTGATACAAAAAACTAGGGATGCACCAATACCGGTTTTTCAGTATCGAGTGCCGATATTTTGCTTTCCAATCTCGCCGACACTGAAAACGAATACCGGTGCTTCCGCTGGCATGGAGCAGGCTTCCCTTTTTAATCAGGAAGCCGGGCAGCGGGTAATGACATCCCGCCCGGTTTCCTGATTGCCACGGAAGCCTGCTCCATGTTGTTTGGCCTGCTTGATTGTGATTGGCTGGGAAATCTGCTTCCTGGCCAATCAGGAAGCCGGGCGGCGAGTAATGACCCGATTGACCGGGAAGCTGGTTCGATGCTGATTGGCCAGGAAGCCAGCTTTCCAGCCAATCAGCAAAGAGCCGGCTTCCCGGCCAATCAGAAAACCAGGAGGCAGTTCATTACTTACCACACGGCTTCCTGATTGCACGTGAAGCTGGCTCCATGTTCCCCTACCAGTCAGAGGAAATTTTCATCTCGACGTAAGTTCCAATATCAGGGAAGGTATCGGAGCATTTGGGTGAGTACGAGCACTTGGCCAAATACCCGATATCGCAATTATACTATTATCTTGCACCCCTAATCAAAACATATTTCACTGTGCTAAATAGCGCTTCTCACTGGTCAGCGCAGTCATCTGACCACGTTGACCAATGAGTGCTTGCAATTTGCGAGCGAAATTCAAAATGCTTAGGGGAGGACTGCGCTGGACAGCAGTACGGGGTACAGATAGTACACCCATACTGGCGGAGGGGAGGGATTGTTCGCCGAAAGGTATGTATAGCCAGGGGGGTGGCGGTTTGGGAGAGACGGGGCTAGATTTCATCGGGTAATTTTATTTTTCCATATTACCTGGGAAAATGAACTTACCCTTTAATGTCCATTGTGTGTGTGTGTGTGTGTAAGAGAACAGTAGAAAGGCATCATGGCACACTCACAAACCAGCATGTAAAACAACTTGTCTCACCACTAAGGATAATAACAGAGGTTTGGATACACGTCTTCTGCAGAGGATGTGAAAGCCGCACTGCCGCGCCAAGGCACCTCTTATAGTGCGGTCCTAACTCTAAACTATGAGAGTCTCCATCTTGGAGCACATGGGGGGCGGAAGATTTCAAATTGGGTGCAGGTTTGTCAGGAGGAAGCCCAGCCTCCTTAAAAGCACAGGAACACACAAGGGATCCCGCACATCCCAATGGCAGCTGAGAAACCCCATGCGTCGCTGCACCAAATCGGTCAAGCAAAACAAACGACAAACGCACTCAACAATTTGTCACCAGTTATACAGTAAGGTGCACACGAAATGGGCTTTGAACAGTAAAACAGTAGAAAGGCATCATGGCACACTCACAAACCAGCATGTAAAACAACTTGTCTCACCACTAAGGATAATAACAGAGGTTTGGATACACGGTTTGGCGCGGCAGTGCGGCTTTGACGCGTGTGGCGTCGGGCGATAGGAATTCCACACCTGTGTGTGTGTGTGTGTGTGTGTGTGTGTATATATATATATATATACACATATCAATTTATGTATAGTATATTTTAGCATATTACCAAGTTTTGATATGTTAGCCTTTGCATTGTTAAGCTGTTGTTTATTATCTGGATCCAAGAGGAGAGAGTTGAAGGTTGCAACTCCTTCCACCATAATATACATGTTCTTCAATAGAGAAAGTAGTAGTCTTCTGGAATGTTTTAGAAAGTGAGTTGAATTTGAAAATGTTCTACCAATACCTCAAAAATTAGGTGCCATCTATAATTTTTAAAAACAATTATGGACAACGGCACTCCAATAGTAGATAGAATAACGTCTATTTAATGATGTCCATGCAAAAACATACTTATTGCAACGTTTCGGGGTCACTCAAGTAACTTGAAACAGTGTTTCGATTTATTATTGGGCTTCTTGTTGAGTAGGGCCTCACTGGGATCAGCATCTATGGGGTGACCCAGTATAATAGCTATATGCCTATACACCTTTGACCACAGGGCTCTGGCCACTGGGCAATGCCACCATATGTGTATGTAGGTCCCTGGTTCAGAACAGCTACAGAAGCAGTGTGGGGAGGACCCAGGAAAAGCCCTTGCCACCCTCACTGGTACAAAGTTCCATCTGGAAATCGCTTTATAGTTTTAGAGCATGATGTTGAAGTTTCCCAGATCTTTGTCCAGGTCTCTTTTAGCTTTAGAACACCCCAAAGTCAGATTTCTTTTTATTGACGTTCAAGGGCGGAAGAGTTGAGGGGGAATCAAGAATATGTGAATAGAGCAGCGATATGACACCTGCACTGTGTGATGCATCTCTGAATTTGAGTTTGAAAGGAGTACATATTACTCCTTCTCTACGAGCTATGGCAATAGACCCAATAAAATTCTGTATCTGGAGAGAGCGGAACCTTTCGGAAGAAGGAAACTGAAAGTGATCTCTGAAATATTCGAAATGGTTCCATCCTGTCCAGCGAGTAGAACCTGTAAAACTTAGTAAGGTGATGTTAGGACCATCTGTGGAATCTGTATATTCTTAGGTTCTTATGAAGCTTCTGACCACATTTATTTTCATCAAAGCAGAAGCATAGAAAACACTGATGTTACAAAATAGATTTTCTGTATGTAAAGCGGAGTATGAAGTCCTATCTATTGTACAAGCATATAAGCACAATGCTTGTCACCCAAATAAGACTAATAGACGAGGGCTACACTGTGAAGTAGAAATGCAATGCCAATATAAATACTGACTCTCTACGCTTAAATGCCCTGTATGAAATGACTATAGCACCTGGAGCTCCCTGCCGAGATTCTCTGTCACTGTCCAGACCTGAAGACATGAATTTATGAGGCCTCTGCTGATTATTGGTCAAACACTAACACCCCACATAATGCATCACTACACATGTTTGCCATGCATAGTGCCTCTGCTGACCGGTGGACAAACACTGACACCACATATACTGAATCTCTATACCTGAATATCATGTATAAGGCCTCTGCTGTACAGTGGACAAATGCCGACACCAAAAATACTGCTTAACTAAACATGATTGCCCTGAATGAAGGGTGTTGGTGAGTGATAATATCACACATTCTGTGCCATTACACATGAATGCCATTTATGAGTCCTGTGCTGCAGTTTAGGCAAACACTGGCAGCCATATATACTGTGTTACTAAACAGGCATGTCATGAATGAAGCATCTGCTGTTAAGAAAGGATCAAGACAGAACTGCCCAGCTTGCCATAAGATTAATGAGGTAACATTACCAATGAAGTAAATCAAAGCTCAAATGAACCTCCCGATTTTATTACTGTAGTGCAGTTAGGCTTTTTTATTTGTTTTCTTTCTATTTGCTACAGAAAACATTGAAAATACCCTTTATTAGTAGTATGCTGGAGAGCCAGGCCCCTGCTCAACAGAGAGTGTTGCTGTCTGGGACTCCAGCGGTCCCGCATGTCCCCTGCACACTGCTCCAATCATCAGTGCTACTCAGGGAGTGTGAGCTGTTGATTGGAATGCTGACAGTAGCAGGATAGTAAAGGGGTAAGTTTACTTTCTCACAAACTGAAAAAATTAACTTACCCACAGCAACCTGCCACCTCCACAGGCCCTCATTGCACTTACATGTCTGTCTGTGTAGCGATCTGTACACCGCACTTCCCAGCCTTGCACTATGGAATGCTCATAATTCTCATTGGTTAGCACGGTCACATGACATCACATGATCGCTCGCCCACTTTCACCCTTATTTTTTTGCTCTGGCGATTGAACCTCTTGCAGTGGCTGTGTTTTTCCTGGACTGCCTTGGGAATGTATCGCCTTTTCCATAGAAACACCCTGTTATGGCCTAAGTGTATCTTGCGGCATTGGATTCATTCACATGTTTTGAAGTTTGATATTATAACATGGGTATTCTTGCTATATTGAAAGTCCTCTTTGATATCAACATAGAACTGGCAGTAATTTGAACCCTGTACTTAGCCAGACAAACAATAGCACAATATGGTTTATCTCCCCAGTCACCCAAACCTGTTTTTGGATAGACAATGTCAACTTAATGCTATAGAAAATCTTACTTACTGTCGCAGAGGCAGTCCTCAAACATTTGTGAAAATATGAAGTGTTTGGCTTAATGGCCACGATCTTGCAGCCCCCATATTAGTCATGCACGGACTCTTTAGAGATTATAACCCTGAACGGTACCTCCTAATATGTACTAGTCTCAGGTAATTTTTTGGTTTTTAAGAAGAATAATGCAAGTTACATGGTGCTTTAGTAAAAACACATAAACAGCAGATCATCGCGTGTTTCTGATCAGTCGCGGTGTCAGTATGTCAATACTTAAAGGAGAACTATGAGGTGACTGCTTATCACTCCATCCTCATAGTTCTAGCCGACCTGTGACAATGAGACTGTCACAGGTCGGCTCAGTAGATCGGGAGGTGAGCAAACACATACCGGCGTTCGCTCACTTCTCGATCTTGTCACGGCAGAAAGCCGTGACAGGGATGGGACTGGATTTCCACCTCTCCGATCCTCCAACGCTGACTGGCGGAATGGACGGGGGAGGGGGCGGGTACAGCTGGCTCTGCCTCTAGATAGGCAGAGCCAGCTGTCACTCACGCAGCTGGGCGTATCCATATATTTGTCGGGATCCGTTTCAGCTGCGGCATGTCAGTATACCGCGAGCTGCAGCTTGCGCTATTGAGCTTAGGGTGACGGGAGGACCCCATAGTTCTCCTTTAATACTTTGATACTTAAACATTCTGACCACCAGCATCTCACAAGCATGATATACAATTCAATATACCAAACAGATAACATCAGCAACTTTCTGCTTCTATTCTTTTACTACAGAAAGTGTCAGAATTGAAGCTAACCTCCACCCAAAACTGTAGCTTACTCACCAGATCCTTTGGTCTAGAGGTCAATAGGTGTTTGAAATGCCAATTGTCCTAGTCTGATGAGAGTCCCGTGGTTTAACCCTTTCCCTGCCACTGACATAAGGCTTACGGCGGAACACAACTGTTTCCAGCTGGCCACGTGAGTAAACCTTACATCGGTGGCTTTCTCTCTTCTGCTATAGGCTTATGGTCGCTTTAGCGACCATGAACATACACCAGAACAGCCCCCTTTAAAATAATAGCTGTCATCATGATGACGGCTATTAACCAAAAATTCAGGCGCGCCACCTCCAGCATCTGTCATCGTCTCCTCTCCGCCTGGAGCCACTCCATGCTTCTCCTCAGATCCCCGCTGCTCTTCCATGTCTGTATGGGATGAGGCAGCGGGGATCTGAGGAGAAATGGCCAGCAGAGGGGCGGAGGAGGGAGCCACTGATCAGGATGCCTGAGCGGCAGGAGAGAGCAGCGAGCGGGGAGGAGAGCGGAGCCGCTGTCATCCTGTCAGTTTTAGGATAACAGCAGCTCTGCGGATGACCGAGCGGAGGATTAGTAAATATCTGTGATAGTTACCGATCCTCTGTATGCAGATCTGATCACTCCAATGTTTGTAAACAACTGGGGACACATAGTACTAGGTGTCCCCAGTTATGAATGAACAGGAAGTGCTTTAAATCACTTCCTGTTCATTCATACATTTCTGAATGGGTAATGTCACTCAGTAAAGAGGCTTCTACCCATTCATAACTGGATGATAGTAAATATTTAAATCACCAGTTTGTGAATAAATGGGCAGCCTCTGTACTGAGTGCTTTCCATTCATTTAGAACAGAGGCTGCAGAAACAGAGATAGAGGACTCTGTGTCCTCAATTTCTTTTTCTATTTCAAGAAGAAAATGCCAGTGGTCTGTTTAGATCTCTGACATTTCCCTGAAGCCCCCCCAACAGTTAAAGCAAATAACAAATACATAAAACACCCCCCCCGCCTCCCCACACACACACACAGATAACATACATGTGCAACAGTGTGCACCATATTGTGGTGTAAGCCATGCGCTGTTGTGCGTTGTTAGAACGCATCGCAGAGCTTGATTTTTCTTTTTTTTCTGTTAAAAATGACATTAATTTAACTGTGGCAGCGCATGGCAAAGTGTTGTGATGCATTGGCGTGCATTGTGATACGCTGTGTTGTGATTAAATGTACGCCTGTATCAATTTATTACAACACACACCAGCACAGTGAGCAAAAGATTTTTAACATAAGTCGCTTATTTACAGTTTTGCGTTACTTCATTTTTTTTACCATTGTGTAAAAACAAATAACAAATATTTGTTATTTATTAACTCAATACAGTTTTATCTTTTAGATTTAGTCTTATTTTTTTTGTGCAGTGATACTGATTTTAGTGTGCCTTTATCAATTTTATTGTGTATTTTTATTGGTTTATATTGAGGACCTACAAAATTAGTAGCACCATCCTTTTATTCTACTGGGCCTGTGCTTTCAGAAAAGATATGGTTTGAGGGGTATTTTACAAACCTTAGCAATGCAGCGAAAATCTAAACAATGGGAGAAATTGCAAAAATGGTGTGGCCAGCTGAGGTTAAAAGTGTCCTGGAGGGCAAGGCAGTGAAAGGGTTAATGGAACGGACTGCATACTGTCTTCAATCCCTTGGTGGTGTTGTTACCACTCATACAAGTCACAGATAATTCCTACAGTATGATATAGGAAGAAAAAGCCTTTATAGTGCATGTAATGTCTTATTTATTTGATAAATAAACAGAGGCCATAAATAGTTAAAATGACATGGGCCGCAGTTTGGGGGTCACTGGTTAAGATGCATGTAGTGCTTGGCAGGTTTTTGTTTGATGATCCCACTTGAGCTTATCAGCATTGATGTGCATTAGCTCATAGCAACTAGTCATATACGTTTTCATTTGGTTCTTTCTATTCGTCATTGCACTTTGCATGTTTCTCTTTTGCAGGCTTTCTTTATTTCATAGCTTCATTTGCCTGTATTTTAATGATGTAAGCAGCAATGACTTGGCCTCTGTGTAACTGAAAAAAGTAGGATAACCCCTGCATTGTGTAAGTAATGAAAAATGGATTTTGGACACGAAGAGTTGAATTCTTACGCAGTACAGTTGTGTTCCTGTGAGAATGTGGCTTCCTGTGTCGTGGAGAACATTGATGTTCTTACTACTTTTAACTATTGGGTTTTTTATTTTTTTTGTGTGTTCCCAGGAGGTTACATGTGTGAGATTTTAGGGCTGCCCTGGGAATAGCAAGTGCAGGTATACACAGAATGGGAAGACTCAAATGTTTCATAGCAAAATGTTTGAGTTGACCAGGTTTAACACATACTAAAACTCGAGAGCAGTAAACATCTGAGATTACTTTATTCCTTGCCTTTGTGTTTAGTCACTTTATAAAGAAAGGAATGTCCCCTTTTTGTGGACATATTTTGGTTTTGTACTATAATGGTCACTGCTTATATGTGATCGTAGAGATTCCCCTTTTTGTCCCCAGTTAGGTTTTCTCTGTTCTCACTTTATTAGGGCTGCAACAAATAATTATTTTCATAATCGATTAGTTGGCGGATTTTTTTTCCCCGATTTAATCAGATAAAAAAAATTAATACCATCCTTAATTTAAAATAAATTACACAAATGCAGTGTTACAAACATAAAGTTTACTTCAGAATAAAACTGCATGCACAATTTTTTGCAATCGCACTGCACTGGAAAGCACAGCATTGTGGTACCGTGCGTTCCAGTGCGGGCGATCACCCTGTGGGTGGGAGACACGCTTGGGGTGGCATTGGAATGAATTGCACTGTAACGCAATTCCCGCAGCAGAATTTGTCAGGCTGAATATGAAAATTTACTTTTTGCCCACCTTTTAATATATATTTTAATAATTGTATTGTGATCGCTTGAATATCTTCAGCCAGGGAATTACAGCTGTCAGTGGCAAGATTCCGCAGATGTCAGCTCAATGTAAATACAGCAGGTAGTGAGCTGGTGCAATAGCCAGCCTGCTATTGGCCATTTCAAATTGCAATAGCCAATAACAGGCTGGCTATTGCACCCGCTCACTGCTTGCTGTGCCCTCCTCCGAGCATGGAGGAGAGAGCTAGGGGATCCAACCAACTAATCGATCATAAGATTATTACTGATTAATCGATTAGTTGGTTGCAGCCCTACACTTTATGTAGTTTAACACATCTTTAGCCTTTACCTAAACAGTATGTTCTTCAGAACAAAGTCTGAGTCAGTTTGTTTGTTGCATCCTGTCAGCTTTACTAATCTCAGGGGCGGAAAGGCCTTAGTTATACTTTAGAAGATTGGGTTTCATTTTCAAACCAAAAATTAATTGGAAATAAAGATAAGTCTCACAAAATTAAACTTCTTGGATGAATAGATTTGATCTGCAGAGAGTGATGCAGTTCATGAAGCCAGGATTCATAGATTGTCTTGATTCTTAGCAGGTAGGGTTAATATGCATCTTCCTATGCGTGTATTCCAGCAAAATAAGAACAAATTGCATTTTACCAGAAATCATCAAGGTTTCCCAGTTGGAAAGATTTTCCCAATTGGTGGATTGAATTGCTCATCTCCCAACTTAGGAGGCGTTTCAGTGGTTCTTATTTCAGACGCAGTGGTGAATAATACCCATTGGGAGAGAAGAACAGGGGAAGAGTAAAGAGATGCAGCTCAGCACCAGCGGTTTATTAATGTCCGACTAATGGTGGAATGCTCTGTTTCCAGGTACCATGGTGCATATCAAAATAATTCTGTATAAAGAAGTGTTGAGAACGTCCTGCTGGGGTAACAAACTGTTCTTAAGACCCATCTAGAAAGTGAACCCTTCCCCATTCTATCAGAAATAAAATGCCGAAAATTGGTTATTTTGTACATTTCTGTGAGCCTACAATTACACTCTGCGCTTACTATCAAAGATCATTTTTAGCACTTTATTAATATTTAATATATCTGTAAACAAATCTTTATACTGTTGTATTATAGAAAAGCCTGTAGATGAAGATCAAACCCAAAAAGACTGGAAAAAAGAAGAGGCTGTTCCGTGTGGCTGCACGTGTCATTCAAAGATCCCAAATAGTAGTGAGGCATCCACATCTACCTCCTTCAGTAATGCTGGGCCCTCTTCTAGTGAGTTTTCATCCCACACAGGTAACAACTTGAAATATTACTCAAATTGTACACAGCAACGCATTTCCATTCAATTTGCTTTACAGGTATTCATGTTTTGTTGACTGTCAGACATGTGGAAGTGCATCAGGACCCAGGGGTTTTGGGAAACTATTGCCGGTGTTAGGAACATGCCACTTCACACACTTTGAAATGCTGTTTAAACAAAGCCAGCAATACTGCTGAAAGTTTAGTTTAGTCTAAACCCTAGCACCATCAGTTAGCACTGCAAATGTATTTTTGGGTTCTGGTTTTCATTTGGATTTTTGTTCCTGGCTGTTAATTACATTTTCTTTAAAGTGTATTTTAGGGATGCACCGATACCGATACTAGTATCGATATCGGTGCCGATTCCGAATATTTGGGCAAGTACTCGTACTCGCCCAAATGCTCCGATGCCTAGCACGAGTACTTCCGGTATCAGGAAGCCGGGCAGCGCGTTATTACACTTGTGATGAGAGAGCATGGAGCCGACTTCCCGGCCAATCAGGAAGCCGGGCAGCGTGTAATGGCGCGCTACCTGGCTTCCTGATTGGTCGGGAAGCTGGCCAATCAGGAAGCTGGCCTCGTGGGGTAAGGTTACCTTACCTTAGTATGTGCAGCCTGTCACCCCCGGGGCCTCTCCAGCGAGAATGCGGCCTTCGTCCGGTACCCAGCCGGAGCCGTCCAATCAGGAAGCCGGGCGCCGTCTAATGACGCGACGCCAAGCTTTCTGATTGGCCGGGAAGCTGGCTTCATGCTCCCTCGTCATCTCATGACAAGAGAGCATGGAGCCGGCCTCCCGGCCAATCAGAAAGCAGGGCGTCGCTTCATTACACGTGCCCGGCTTCCTGATTGGCCGTCCAGACGACTCCTGCTGGGTACCGGACGAAGGCCGGGTTCTCGCTGGAGAGGCCCCGGGGGTGACAGGCTGCACATACTAAGGTAAGAGGGAACTTTCTTGTTAATCAGGAAGCCAGGTGGCGAGTCATTGCACGCCACCTGGCTTCCTGAATGGGACTTCCGTTACTCGGTAATGGGTATCGGCGAGTACCGAAAAAAAATTATCGGTACTCGTACTCGGTACCAAAATACCGGTATCGGTGCATCCTAGTGTATTTCCATATTTGAAGCCAAATTGGGATAACGCCTATTTTATATTTGTTACGTGTTCTCATTCACAAAGCTTACTTTCTCTTTTGGGTCACAGGAGGACATTTACTAATGTCCTCCTGTAACCCAAAACTCAGCATATAACCCACTATATGCTGACAGGGCAGAGTTGCTCTGCAGCTGGGAAAGATCCCAACAATATTGTCGAGATCCACCCTTCTGCCTGATTGACAGCTGTCTCTGCCTCTCTAGAGGCAGAGCCAGCTGTTCCCGCCCCCTCCCCCATCCATCCCTCCAGTCAGTGCTGGAGGAATGGAGAGGGAGGGGGGAAGCCCTGTAGGGAGTGGTGACTGACAACACCGTTCCCTGCCGGGAGATCGTGAACTGAGCGAGAAGCGGTTTGTGATCGCTCAGTTCTCGATCAATAAAGCCAACGTGTGACAGCTGCAGTGCCACACGCCGGCTCCAGGTATGGGGATGAGTGCATTTCACTCTCTCAATAGTTCTTCTTTAAAAATCCAGAAGCATTGTATGTTAATAAAAGGTAGCTCAGAGTGTCCCTAGTCTTTTTAATGAGGAGACACAAAGTTTCATGTCACTTTAAAACTGTACAGAGGAGCTTGCAGTATGCCCAAATGCCTAATCCACAGCGATACAAGTAAGAAACATTTGTTAAAAATAATTTGTAGATATGCTGTGCGATTAGGAACACATAACAAACATATAGTGGGGGTTTCTAAAATTTGACAGCAAAACTGGAAATACACTGGAAGGTTACTCTATGTTTACCCAAGAAAACTGCAGGTTTAAACTTTTCTTTTTCCAAAAGAAGCGAAAAAATGTGGAAGGAAAGCACATATTATATGGCTATTTTAATGTGCAGCAACTCACAGCAAGCAGTCAGAACTCAGCTACCAATAATCTCAGATAATTACATGTTTGGCCAGGTTCTGAGTATACGGCACCGCACCCCTGGAAATAGTAATAGTCACAAGAAGAGAAAGATGGGGCTGTTAAGGTACCAAATGACAATTCCAAGGCAATGAAAGGTAAAAAGGTATTTTTATTAAATAGTGATTAAAAATGTGTTCAGTTCAAATAAAATTAATTGAAGAAAACCAACTGATCACAGCCAGAGATCGAAGAGAGAGGCTCCCAGTGCTTCACACTGTCCTGGGCCCCCAGCGTCAAGCACGGCCGCCCCAAAGCCACACAGTCTTTTAGGAGATATCTGATCAGTTGGTTTTCTTTAATGAATTTTATTTGAACGGAACACATTTGTAATCACTATTTAAATAAAATACCTTTTTACCTTTCATTGCCTTGGAATTGTCATTTGGTACCTTTTAAAAGCCCCATCTTTCTCTTCTTCTGACTATTACCAATAATCTCAGTGAACTTCACATAATCATTACTTTTTAGAGTAGACCTTTGAGAGAAATACAGGGGCTGCAGTTGCTGACCATCCCCTGAAGCCTAATTAAAGTCTCAATCCCTTTAAAGAACAACTCCGGGCAAATGACAAATTAACGTTTGCAGTGGGGCTACCCCCGCACTGCAAGGGTTAAGTGCTTGTTTTGGTCCAGGGTCTAAAATGCATGTAGGACCTCTGCAGAGAGATCACTGTTTTCCAACAAAGATCAAAGGTTCCAGTCTGCTGTATGCTGGCAAGGGTCAGGCTTTTCTACTCTGTGGCTACTTTAGCAAGAAAATGAACTGTAAGACATTGAACACCTTTTTGTTTTGATGCACCGGGAATGTGTTTAGTGGTTTTAAATGGAGAGCTCAATTGGACTTTGTGAGTCACTGAGGGAAGTCAAACCTAAATGATACCCAGGCAACTAGCATTTTCAAAAGGAGAGGTCAACAATGGCAGCCTACTGTGGATATTTTAATCATGACAAACGTACTTCAGTTGCCATTTAAGTAAAATCTATTTGGGAAAGTGATGCCATCTTTTGGAGAGACAGTTGGGTTGAGACTACTTTTTCCCAATATTGGAGTCCCTGAGAGATCTAAAAAATTCTTAGTACCTGCAGTTTTCTTTGTTATTTTTTCTCCAAGAAAACAGTTATGAATAATGACTCCATCTTGAGGAAGGTTTATTGCCCTACTTCCCTTCATGGAATATGATGGATTATGTGTGTCTGTGGTAGTATCCATTATCAACAACATTTTAATGAAAAGAAAACCCAAACACCCACCTCTCATCATCAGCTTTAATAGGTTAATGATAGGTTAATGAACTTCCAGAAGTAATTTTTCAAAAAAAACTCCATCAGGTGATCAGATAGCCTGGAGACGCAATCACTCTGACCTAAGAGGGCACTGTTGTTTCTCCACAAACGAAAGTGTGCATTGGAGAAGCCTTTGGATAGAGTTAGTGATATACCAGAAGTCATTTTCAATATTTTTTATATCTGCAGCTTTCATTAAAACAATAGCTGGTGATCTTACTATGAAGACCTTATTCAGGCACTTTTCTATTACAGTGGCTCGGTTCCTAGCTCCCACCCGTGCTCCTGTGTTTGAGACTACAAGTGCTTGGTTCAGTGCAAATTATGCAGATATGGTCTCTCACATGGTCTATCATAAGGTAGTCGGCCCTAAGAAATGCTATGCAATCAACACAGGAGTGAGTGTCTGTAGATAGTAAGTGGCTGCAAAGAGGGTGCAGGAGATATGTAGCAATGAGATGCAATTTAGTGTTTAGCATACTAAATATAAATTCTATAGGGTCTATATCTACAAATTGTTCAAAAACATTTGTTTTATTTAGTTTGGTCTGTTAACATAGGCCATATTTTGAGAAATTATGTATTTAGCTATATGTCATACATAACTACATGTCTTTTATTTCTAAGTTTACTTCACTTGATTCTTTCCCCTTCTCCCGTAGATGCTAGCAGAAGTAAATCAACTCTAGCTTCAAAGCTGTCTGCAAAAAAAGCTTCTTTTGCTACAGATGAGGAAGATAATGATTTTCAAATGGATAGAAAACGCATCCGGCAATCACCTCTTGAACAGCAGGTAATAAAATCCCAATTTTGGATTGCTTTACAGATAAGTATTTATTTAGTTTCCTTATCCCCTGTGTGAGTTAGTAAGGTCATTACGCACCCTCTATATCAAGTTATGTTACTGTTACCAATTACAAATGGCTTCATTATTGCCACACACAAAGACATGTCAGGTAGAATAATGACTTGTTATCAGACATTGAATGTAGAATTACAGTGGTCTAGGAGTTAGCGGTTACTCCCTTAACAGCTATTCTGCTAATTTTCAATTAGGATAAAAAATGACAGTTGCAGTGGAATGACATTTTTTTAATGGGATCTGGGATACGGTGTAGTACATCGGACAGCCTATTACCAGTTGCTTTCTTTTCTGCGATATTTCTGCAGCAGACATTTGTTTTGCTTAAAACAAGCCTGCTGGCCCTGCTTCAAGGAGCATGTTATACTGGTATTTAAGGGAACCTGTGAAAATGCTAGGTGCCTTGTGTGGTAATTACACTCCTAGATCCCACTGCTGCGATCAGAATGTGATGCAGTACACACTCAGCCTCACCCTGTGCAGAGATTTTCCAGCTTGTGGGGCAATGGTCTACGCACCATCAGAGTGATCTAATGAGGCAAGTTATTTGAGCAGTTTACCTTTATACACGGTAGCCACCACTACATGTTTTCATTGGAACACATTCTCAGACAGGAATGTAACAGATGTATCAGGCAGTTGTGCTGGAGTATTTTATCATGCTCAGCAGACAAAACACCTAATACCAACCATTCTATATACATTCCATTTGACAAAGTTTCACAGTCTGGCAACCAACATATTAGCAGAATGAAATTACAGTTGATTAGAGACCAAAAAGTATGTACATCTCTGTGCGGAAATCTCTACTCATAGAAAGTAAGCTGGAATGGAGAAACCCATTAGCGGCTGAGCACACATGGGGAGTATGTATTTGCTCCATAAATAAATATTCGTATTTTTGCTGAAGACCCTTGGAGTGCAGCTATTTCTGAATTGGCCCTAAAGATTATTTACTACGGGGTATGTATGACAGGGCCTAATTAGGAGTCTTTTGTAGACCCTGCTAGAGGTGGTTTTATGATACCTCTGTATTACATGGTCAGTGGCTTATTAAAAGTGCCACCTTCTCTGGCTACCCATCACAGAAATAATATTTAAATCTGACCCTTTCTGTTACTGACTTGTTCATTTTGGGTAAAATGAGGGTGGCACAGTACGACTCTCCCAATCTTCCCGATCCTGCTGATTCTTTCTTTAATACTTTTACTGACCTGGAAAAATATGTGGTAAGTAAAGGCAGAACTCGTGGTCCGCATATGTTTTCTAGATTGGTGATTTGGAAAGTCTTTTGATCACCTTGCTGGGGCTGAACTGTCAGCAGACATTAGGCAATATACCATTAATTGGCAAAGTAACATTGTCTCTTTAAGCACTTCAGGACCACTGTGCATATACAAATGGCGCTGTTCTGAAGCAGTTATAGCAATATCAAGGCTGCTAGAGCCGTCCGATTGCTTTTCAGGACTCGGGGAGTGTGTGTCCCCCTCTTCTGCCATTGCCACCAGCTGTCCCCTGTGTGGGCTCAGGACTGGCATGGCAGGTCCGTGCACTTCGATCAGAGGGAGATCAGCACACTTCCAGCGGCTAATCTTCCCTTTGATCACTGAACCTGGAAGCGATGTGTATTACATCACTTCCAGTTTCAGTCTGTCATTTCTCTGGCTGCTGGAGCCAGAGAAGAAGCTGATGAAGCATGACCTGTGCTTCATCAGCTTCTTTGGGTTCTATCGGTGACATTTTCGGTCTACGTTCATGCACATACAAACACAAACACCTGTCGAGTATTCCTATGCACAAAAACGACGATTCTGTTTTTGTGTGCTAAAATTCCTTTTAGTGCATATTATTTTAAATATATTGGTTTGATAAACATTTGTGCAAATATTGTGCAACATAAAATTTGCAACTACCATTCTTTATTCTATTTATTCTATTTTTTATTCCTCTGTTTTCCAAAAATATATAATTGTTTGTGGGCTTTATGCAGTTTTCTAACCAAAAAAAACAAACAGATTTTATCATGTGTGTGGAAAAAGTCAGAAATTGCTCCCGATGGCAAATGGTTAAAGGGAATGTACAATGTTTTTTTGTATAAATGTTATTTATCTTCAATTATTTTGATATAAAAAATATTAAAAACATATAAACCTAATTCATAAATGTGTCTTAAAGCCAATCTAGTTTACCTCTAAAGGAAATCTTTATTGATGAGGCTTCCATTGCCGTTTTCAATACTTTCAAATTAATTGACCTGGAGTTTATTATGCAGATTTGACATTCAGACTCCACTCTGTGTTTAGTGATCCGCCTGATCACGTCCTAGTCAATGTCTCCCAAAGTAGTAAGTATTAAAGCAAGAGAGCATGCATGTTCAGAAGGAGGTCAGCAATGCAAGACTTCATAGTTTTCTTAGCACGTTTCCTTTAATTCAGTGTACCCCGCTGGCTAGTTGAGGAGCACTTCCATACTTTAAAAAAATGCATGAAGCTTATAATTGGCATTCCTGAAACTCGCTGTAAGTGAGATGTGGCTAGTCAAGATTCCTTGTTTTATTAGCCTTATTTTTTGCCTATGTTACAGACACGAAAACGGCGCTGTTTTGAAAAAGGTGTGCAATTTATTGATGATGATGATGATACGAGTGAATGTTATGGGGCATCGAGTAGTCATCAACAAGATAGAGTTGACCCTGCTAATTTTCTTGGTGAATCTTCGGAGTCTACAGCACAGCAAGTAAGTACTGTAACCTAATTGTGGTAGTGATGTGATCAGCACTATCTTTATAAGAAATTATAGCTGCAGAAGAATTGTTTGTTTGGAATACCACTTGTTCACCACTTGTTTTGCCTTATAGAGGCATAGAAAGCAATAAACTTTTGTCAAAGTGATACCTTTCTGTGACTATAAATGTTAATAATACAAGCATTCGAAATCTATAGCTCCTTCTTTAGAAATTTTGGCAGAAGAAATGCTCTAGTAGAATCTTATGTTTTATCTGTGAGTGATACTTTACATTGCTGTATGGATATAGCAATCAAAAGAGATGATTTACCATGTTAGCTGGGAATAAACACAAAGGTAGCGCAGGCAAATTTTTTTGTCTGGTGATATGGTCCCTTTAAATAGTCCTGTGCTTAATTCATGAACGCTTTGCAACAGTTTAACAGTTCCGACATATGCAACAGAATTATGTAATTCTTTCACAATGTGTCTCTATTGCTATGATAATTCAAAAAGAATAACTGCAAGTTTGTAGATAATGATACTGGAGGTAATTAACATGAGCTGTAATTTGGCATAGAGAGACAAGCAAGTAAATGTACCCTGCACTTTACTACACAGTGGGATTGCTGTGTAGCAAAGATCAAGGCATGTTTGTGCTTGGAAGCTGTCATGGATGTTACAGCTTTTCTCAGGGCAGGTTGGTTTTAAGTCTTAGCCACCAATGACTAATCCCTTGCCCATTCAGCTACCGGCTGGAAGTTTCCCCGGCCAACAGCTGAATGTAAACAAAGGTTTCAGGAATGTTGGCTTATGTCATTACCCAAATATGGCAATGGCCATATTTGGTCAATGATGTCAGCTTGAATCCCTGCCCCTTTGTTTACATTTGGTTGTCTGCTGGGGAATCTTTCGGCTGACAACTAAGTGGAGCAGTGGATGAGTCATTGGCTGCTGGGACAATGTTGGCTGTACATCCAACGGCATCCTAGAAATGAATGTCAAAGTGCTGAATTGAAAGTGGACAGAGTCTGATGGGGAGGCTGAGAGATTAGTTCCCCATCAGGTCTGCCTCCTCAGCCATTGCACCTGTCTGTGTGATTGTGAGACAGGTGCAGTGGTTGGGTAGGGAGTTTAGTATCGCTGAGCCTGTGATTTTATCAGACTCCACTTTACTGAGCTGCACTGAGGATGAAGTAAGAATAAAGTGACCTGCTGTTTATATTTTTTTGCCGTGCGCCACACATTACCTTTGCGTTGTGGTGTGAACAGGGAGTGTATGAAACAGTTTGTGCAGAAAAACGCTGCTCACTGCTATAGTGTGAATGGACCTTTCCAAGTATTAAAGAGAAACCAAACTTTGGAAATTGTGGCCAAATAAAAGCAGGGCGAGGCAGATGACTAGTCACCAGTATTGTCTGTGGTCTCACAGCAGTTGCTTTTTCCATTACTGACCATGTCTTATTCTGTGCTCTCTCTCTTTGTGAAGACAGCCATCCTGGTAGATGAAGGGCTTTGATTCCACATGTTAGAGCTTCCAGCAAGCTGACCAGCACAGCAATTCCTTCTAAATCTCACTCTAAATCTGAGAACAGCAGTCACAAGCAGAAGTGCCTTAGTTCTCACAGTGCAGACATATCACTGTGAGGCTGTAGGCACAGAAGTCCCTAGGGATCCTTATGCATTGAAGTGCACTGCTATTTTTCAGGAGGAATTCAAGACAGGTACACTTTTTAGGGTACTGCTTAAGTACAGTTAGCATTGTCTTATAACATAGCAAATTGTTACTTTTTGAGTGCAGTTGCACTTTAAAGTCTACACCTGCAAATCAATTCGCCTTTTCAGGAAGACCACACAATAGCCTTTGTATATATCTCAGTACAAGTTTTCTTTTAGAAAACTAAGAGCAAACACATGAATCACAACTCACTGCTAATATGAGAGATTGTGAAAGGTATTGGATTTTGTGTTGAAACGCAGTCACTTGATTTAACTGCATTAAAGCATTTAAGTGTTAAAATACACATACATTATTTTTTGATAGGTGGATATTTTATATCCTTTTTTACTTAGCTGTTTTTTAAAATCCACTGTATTAAATATCATTTTATCATGTTACTGCATACCTTACTTATTCATGTAATTTGTGTGCTCATATATAATTCATTAAAGTTTAAAGCTATGAATTATGCTGGAGTCATTAAAATTAGATAACCGTTATGGAGTTGTGTACGTCAGAAAATGTATGGTTATTGATTTGCGGTCTAGACAGTTGGTCAGTATAGTCATTTATCAGTCCACTGGTTTTGTTTAATGTATCTTCTTTACACAAACCAATATACTGAATTTAATACAGTGTTACAGTTGAACAAAAACTGTTAAAATGAAAATGTTTAAATAAAATGAAAATTGTTAAACTTTATCAACTAACAAACAAAGAAGTAATTGAACCACTTTTTTTCGAGTTATAATAGATACTATTTGAATTTGCTGTTTCTAATTGTGCCCTGAGAATTTATGTATTTTCTCATGGGATACTTCATTGAGAAATTAAATGGTTGGATAGAGCCAATGGTCTATTTAAAAACATGTAACCGATTAATCGAACTTAATAATCGGCTAACTAATCGATTTTGAAAATAATCGTTAGCTGCAGCTCTAGTATATTGCTTACAAAAACATAATGTAGAAATCACACTTTTTAAGCAGTTGAGTGTTTAGTCCACCCAAAACTGCTACGGTAAACTCCCAGTTATATGGCACCCACGGGGATCGGTAGATGCTGGATAACTGTAGTTTCTGGTTGCTTGAGAGGTAATAGTAACTCTCAAGCCCCCACAGCCCCATTCATCTGCTGGCTAGATTCTGCTTACATTCTGTGAATGTAAACGGCGAGCAGTGGTGGGGGAGCAATAGCCAGACTGAGGAGAGGGGTGGACCTGACAGTGAAAATACTCTTTTGGGTCTGTTCCTCTGCTCAGTAGACGGGTGCAATAGCCAGCCTGCTATTGGCTATTGCAATTTGAAATAGCCAATAGCAGGCTGGCTATTGCACCCCACTGTTTACATACAGCTGCCGACCATGGAATCTAACCGCGACTGGCAGCAAAATGTAAACAGAATTTTGTTAACTAAATAAATTAAGTTGCTAACAAAATTTTTTTAGTGTGCACAAGTTTATCAAGCAACCAGCAAAAAATATTATGTCCTCAATTTTGTTTTTGCCGTTTGCTTGAATGCCAGATAAGGGGGAGTTTACTGTAGTTAAGGTTTCCGTAGTTGCTTTTTTAAAGAGTTAAGCCACTTGCCTTTCTGGTTTGTCTCATGGTCCCTTTTAGACTGTAAGCTCTTATGGGCGAGACCCTCCTTACCATCTTGCTTGATTTGTATTATAACTGTAATGTCTTCCTTATATTGAAATGCAAACTGTTGGCGCTATATAAATCCTGTATAATAATAATGGTCTTTGCTGGAAAACTCTTGTCACTTAAGCTCCCAAGCCTACGCAGATGCTTTGGTTATTACAAGGGCATCGCACTTTCAGTAATTTTTTTTGCCCTTTGTTATAGTATGGTGAATGCAACACTAGGAGGGACTACTGCTGTAAACTACATATGGACCAGATTAATTTCAGCTATGGGGCTGTTGATCTTGCAGTAACTTTGTCATTGTTTGGAGATTTCGTCTTCCAAAAATTATTATTTTAATTCCTATGTATTTCAAGACAAAACGAAAGGAAAAAATAACTGTTTCCAAATTGATCAGAGATAGTTTTACTATGTATATAAATACTAATTGTATTCTATGATTTGTATAATAATACCAGAATTATGTTTTCAGTACAAAACATTGTACCAGCGTGAAGGGTTTTGCATATTTTGTACAGGCATCTTTTTACATAGAAAACCGGCGCACCCATCTAAGTGCAGTATAAAGTGACTATTTAATAAGGGTAAAAGTAATGCACTTACAGGATATTAAAAAACATCTCGCCTGTCACGCATTAGTTGAAAGTCCCATCTCAGCTGCCGGTCCGAGATTGCTATCAGGATAGGGAGAAAGCAGAGTCCAGTTCAGTCCAGAAAGATCCCAGGACGCCTGTTTTCTATGTTTTCTTTACAGTGCTGTTATATGGATGTTTCCCTATCCAACCAACCAGGCTGCAGGATCGGTGCATACATCTTTGGAGTAATTACCAGTATAACTGGAGTTCATTTGATACTATCAATATATAGCCCATAAACAATCGATCTTTTTGCGCAAGTTGATGACTTCTTTTTCATGTTGAACTTGGGCATCTTTTTACACAATGCCTTAAAAAGAGGAACGGAGAAATTAAATTGCAAGTGAACACACAGATTCTGCCCATTGACATGTGTCTTTTAGCATTGGGTTAGCAGGAAGGATACAGATAAAGTTATTTTAGCAGCTTAGGTTGGAGGACAAGCAAGATGAAGTAGATGCTTTTGAGAATATATTGTTTCTTATACTTTCCACATGTGTTGCTTTAACAGTTGTAATATTTAACTGATAGCAGAGATGTACCACTATGATTATTAACAACAAATGTGTGTGTTTGATGCATTTAACTTTAAAGCTGAACTCTGGGCATAAATACTTTCATAAAAATATATTTTTCTGCAGAGCGGTGGAAGGGAATTAATAATAAGTATAATAGCTTGATAGCCATGCTACCCCTTCCTCATTTTATGGAAACAAAATGTATTTTGTTGCAGTCTGCATCCCTACTAGAGAGATTTCCCATAACTTTCTTCCATCAGGAAGTGAGGGTAAATTGGGCCATAAGCCACAATAGAAATCTGACCTGGGTTCTATGTCTTCCCCACTCTATCTAAAAGTAAAAAAAAAAAATGGGCATTACTTGCTATGGAGAAATAATTGTGAATGTGGATAGAAATATTGCAAACCCTTTAGAATGATTTTGAGAATCTTTACATGAG